TCTATTTTAATTTGATACCACTGCATTACAAATATACCTGACAAATGATCATTAAAGTGGTGAGCCCTGGTAAGGAGAAACCAAGTATTCCCTGAAGGCAGCCATTTCACCTGCAAATAGTTCTAATTGATAGGAAATTTTTCCTTATATCAATCCTACATTTGCTCTATTTTCATATCTTCCATTACTCCTCATTTTGTCTTTTGAGGCCATGTAAAACAAGTCTATTCCCATGTCCTCCTAGAAACTCTTAAAATATTCAAAACCAGCTTTCTCTTCCCCTAAAGATTTCTCTCTTCTACAGGTTAAAAATATCCAATTCTTTCAAATAAATCTCATATGGCATGATCCTTAAAGCCTTCACCATGCCAGCTGCCTTTTCTTTCTTTTTTTTTCTGAATAGTCTCCAGCTTATTTATTTTGTTCTTAAAATATAATTTTAGAAAGTAAACACAGTACTCGATACGTGGTCTCACCAAATTTAAAATAAAGTAGAACTCTTATTTTTCTCATCATAGATACTAGGCCATTTGTTCACTGATCATAGATTCAGAGCTAGAAGTGACATCAGAGTTCATCTAAATCTACCTTCTCATTTTATATATGAAATAACCGATTCCAAGAGATGTTTAGTGATTTGTCATCTGATACTAAGTGACATAACAAAGATTCAAATCGAAGTTCTTTACTACAAGTCCAACAATCTTTAGACTGTATTATCATGCATCTTTATATTACATTAGATCCTTTTTTGGGGGGGGTTAAAAATCAGACCATTGATTTGTATTTAGGTTAGACTTCACTAAAATAGTCTTTCTCACAAGAACTGCTATCCCTCTAGGTCCTCTCCAACTTGTATTGATGAAACTGATCTTTTGAACCCAGTACAATAGTCTACACGTACCCTTACTGAATTTGATTCCAGGAAGATCTAGTTTTTCTTTGTTTGTTTTCAAGGGAAAAGGCTGCTTCTTTTTTGTCTGTTCATTCCTACAGTTCCTTGGCATATTTGGTTATTGTTGTTTAGTCATTTTCAGTTGTGTCTGACTCTTTATAACCCCAATTGGGGTTTTCTTGGTAAAGATACTGGAGTAGTTTGCCATTTCCTTCTTGAGCTCATTTTACAGTTGAGGAAACTGAGGCAAACAGGTCACATAGCTAGTAAGTATCTGAATCCAGATTTGAACTCAGATATTCCTAACTCCCAGCCAAGCACTCCATCCACTGAGCCACCTAGCTGCCCTCCTTGGCATATAGTTGGTACTTAATGAACTCAATTGAACCATTGAAGCATTCAATCCAATGTTCATTCTGTTATCTGCTTTTGTTTCCTTTTCTGTTTATTGACATTTTAACATCTAAATGGGTTAATGAATTCATGTGTATCTCCATGTCAGTCTCTTTAGATGATTTTCCATTTCTTTCTCATCAAAAGTGTTTGTCTATCTGTTGTTGTAATTTCATTCCCAATAGCTTGCCATTCTTCCTTCTGACTTCCCTCTAGAATTCTATGCCATGGCATATTTTTCTTTTTCCTCTGAATACTTTGAAAGCTATGTTCCCTAAATGTCATGTGTGTTAGTTTCCATTTAAGGCACCTCGTTGTTGATGATTATATGAAAAATAAAAGTTCACCTCCTTAGTTTCCACTTCGTGACACGTGATTTTCACAATCAAGACTTGCTTTCACAAGGAAGTCAAGATATCATTCGTTCTTCTTTCTTAGAGAGAAACAGAGAAAGAAAGAGAAAGAGTAAAAAGGTCTATTGATTTTGGCTCAAATACTCGCCTCCTCGGATGCTGTGTTCCCAGCGGGCACTGCTACTCCTGGGGATTCTGGGCACCGAGCCCTGCTCGCTGCTGTCCCTACCTAAGCAGGAGCTGCAGCAACGGCAGCAGGCAACGGCACCCGCGGCAGAAGGAGGTGGAGGCTGTGACCCGCACTCTGGTGACTTGGAGAGACTAGCCTTCAGTGGAGTGCAGCGGGGCATCTTTTTTGAACTTCCATGATTCTTCGGACTATGAGCCAAAAGGATCATGTCTCTGTGACTCCTTGCTTTCCCTTAATGCTGAAAAGATTCTGAACCAGGCAAAGTCCCTTGCAGAACAAAAACAATTACCTTTTGCTGCTGATAATGACAATACGAATGAAGAATTAGCTATTGCTTATGTGTTGATTGGCAGTGGTCTATACGATGAAGCAATAAGATAATTTTCATCCGTGCTCCAGGAGGAGCCAGAGCTCGTTAGTGAAATTTATAGCCGAGGGATAGCCTCTGGAAAGAAGGGACTACAGGACATTAACAATGCTGAACTTGCTTTGTTTGAACTGAGTCGAGTAATTACCTTAGAACCAAATCCAGCCCCCTCACTTCTTCATATGACTTTATCTTCTTAACATTCAATATTTCTCCTCTTCCCTCCTGCGTTTTTATATCTAATTCTTTCCTTTTCAATTATCTGCAAACTTCCAGAAGCATGTCTTTTCATCATAGAATTAATCCCGTCAAGACTCAGTGGTATCTATGATTGCAAATTTGCCTCCTTGCGTTAGTTTCTAGCTCACTTTACTTGTTAGCCACATTTTGTCCATTTGCAAAAAGATACAAAGGCTTCCTTTATTGAATTTTGTCTCCTCTGAATTTCTAGGCAACTGTGATGCTATTCTTTTTTCTTACATTGTTACAACTTCCTAAACTACTTTCTTTGGTGAATATATGTTAACAGTTTTCTATCTCTGTCTCTTTTTCAGTTGAAAGCCCTTTTGTAAGATTATAGGCAAATATGGTCTTACCAGCCTTCTTAGGCACATTCTAAGTCTAACCAATTGTTCATCATGCCTATATTTTTAAACCATGTTCCAGAAATCAAATTCTTATACATTAGGTTTTTAATCAGTTTTCCATTTAACCAGATTTATATTTTTCTTCTGAGACCCTACCTTTGAATGGCAAACATAATGAAAACACCTGCACTCTAACTCTTCATCTTCTTATCCAAGACTTTAAAATCTGTAGCAATACTTTGCAGATTCCCACGGGAAATATCATTTATGCCTACATGGATCATCAGAAGTGAGTAAATGTCTACTTTTTTGATAGGTCTTCGGCAGTCCATTCTCATATCTTGGACATATGCCCTCAGGAAGACAGCAGACTTCACTATTGTTATTATCAGGTTAACAAATATCTACTTCAGGACTACTCACCAAGATGTTATCAACTATTTACTCTTATGATCTTTCATGTATGAGCTTTCATGTGGAGATTTCTGTGGATCTTCATCATTAGTCATTAGAGGGAAAAGTAACTGCTTCTTTCCCAGAGAGCATTCAACTCTTCTTCAAGAATAGTCTCATATCTCTGAATACTCAGACTAAAGTGTTCTATGGGCCCACTTCCTTTCTAGTTTATGCTGAATGTTTATAGTTTCCAGTATATTGAAACAGGTCAGGATTAACTGCTGATCCTAATTTTTTCCCAAATCTGGGCTTGCTTTGTGCCAGACACTGTGCTAAAGGGCTGGAAATACAACTCACTGTCGAATGCAGGAGACAATAAACAAATAGTTATGGACAAACCAGATATATTCAGGATAAATTGGAGATGACCTCAAAAGGATGTCACCAGCATTAAGGAGGATTAGGAAAGACTTCTTAAAGAAAGTGGGATTTTATCTGAGACTTGAAGGAATCCAGGGAAATGGAAATGGAAGGTGAGAATTCCAGGCATGTTAAGAAACATTTCATTCTCTCTCATGATCTGAGAGTAGCAATGCCTCTTAGGGGAAAGTGGCCAATGTTTTGAGCATAGGTAAAAATCATTTGATTATGATAGAAATACAAATCTACCTCATTCACTGGGAGTTAACTGTAAAATTCTCTTTATTTTCCAAAATTTATGGAAGCAAATTTTCACATCCTTTGTCATTCTTGGGAGAAGCTATTGAGACTAATTTCACAGCAGGAGATGCTTTTCATTTTATAATTCAATAAACATTTATTAAATGCCTATACTTGGTTAAGTACTATGGATGCAGATAACAACAAGACAGTCCTCTATGTCAAGGAGATTTCAATCCAAGCTGGAAAGGATGGGATTAGCTATCTTTTTCCATGTAATTGAAAACAAGCAGAGCTGCAGCTGGAAAATGGAGGGAGCAGGGAAAGTCTAAATCCTGTGGTCTGAGGGAGGTGAGAAAGTGCTAAGTATCTAAGCCTGATGATGAGATCTGAAGTAATCGGCTTACCTTGGGAGGGGAATCTTCTTAGGAAAACACCAAATCCTTTTTTTTTTTCTCTTACATACTTTCTTTGTGCTTTCAGTTTTTCATCCTCAAATTCTTTCCACCTTTCCTTTCTCCTTCTCCTTCTTCTACTTCAGACTGAGATATTCTCCTTTGCCTTGTAGTCATGTCCTTCTGCTCATACATTTCCTTCTCCTTGAATCGTTGTCTACTTAAACTTGAGTCCTCTTTTAGCTAAGTTTTCAGCTTGAATCTTTCTCCTCTTTTAGCTTCTTCTCCAATTGCTGCCACCCCCTCCCCACACACAGCATGTGATTTTATTTTGGGCCTTCTTCACAATTCAAAACCTTCCTAAATCACCTGTACAATTTTTTTCTCAAAATAAAGCTAGACATTTTTGGTGATGAGGAAGATGGAGGATGTGTAATAGAAAACAACTAATACAGTAGGTAGATATATTTTAAAATGGTAACTAGAAATGAAATTCCTACACCTCTCCCATACTTATAAGGCAAAAAGCAAACTTTCCTTCAAGTGAGTGTAGATATGAATAAATGGCGAGTGGGATATGAGCCATACAAGATCTGTTATGAAAGTAATTGACTTAGGAAATTATCGACTCCTTGTTGCCATGCAAATGCACACAACTATTTACTAACTACCAGCAAATCTTTGCCTGACTCAGTAAATGAAATCTTGGAATGTAAATTGAAATAAGTTTATGAGATTCAGAGAGGTTTTATTCTAATTTGGTCAAAAATATGGAACATTTCACAAATTTGTGCATCATACTTGCTCAGGGGGTATGCTAATCTTCTCTGTTTCATTCCAGTTTTAAAATATATGCTGTTGAAGGGAGCATTCTGAGATATTTTAGTTTAATTCCACTCAGGTCAGCATGGCCTTTTCTTATTCTCAGACAGCTAGTATAGAAATTAGTTAGTTGGATTTCTTTTAAGATTCTTAAAATCAGTTCAAATTATTTAAAAGTCAGATTCCATTTCTATTTTAGGGCACTCAAACCCATAAGGAACTTCTCAATTTGTGAGCTGAACCTTGAAATTTAAGATCGTACCAAGATCCATCAATTTTGCTTTACATTAGGATATAGATGTAACCAGGTTCATTTATACTGTCTATATGATGCCCCTAACATCCTGATATTTAACACTTTGTTGATTTTTGTAGAGATAACAAATGATTGGCTAAATAAGAAACTCTCTGGGTAAATGGTTTGGCAAGTTTAAATTTTACTCTTGCTATTGCTTATTTCACCATATGCTAATTTCACAGCATTCCTTCATGCTGAATAGGTGACTTTGAATATAGGAGACATTATCAGAGGTAGTCTACTATAATTTCATGCTACTCAGAAGTCTTAGGGCCTGCATGGTTATTAGAAAACAGATATTTAAAAGTTTAATAGATGATTTGAATTGTCATTCACGTTTAGACTTTTACATTGTATATCCCCTACACTTAATATTGAGTGACGTATTTTTTACTTGATTTTGTGTTCATTATCTGATTGTCTTGATGATTATAAAGTATATTACCGCTCTCATTGATTTTCTTGCTGAAACATGTGAGTAGGAAATTAATTTAATTTGTTGAACGATCATAGTCTCCAACTCATCGTTTTCTATCTATCTATCTATCTATCCATTTATCTATCTATCTATCTATCTATCTATCTATCTATCTATCTATATGGATATATCTATCTATCCAAGGTTATTAACTACAGTAATGGTATACTTTTATAGCTTATATCTAAGCATAATCACTTTCTATTTTTAATTTCTGAATAACAGTACTTTTAGTAATTAAAAAGTTGGACAATGGCTAGATAATGGCAGGATAACCAGAAGGATATTTGAACACAAGAGTGATAAGATATATTGAATTCTGCCAATATTCTGGACAGATATTTCTTCTCTAAAAGTGGTAACAAGGAATGTTTTTTAAGTACCATAGTAGTTGCACATGAAATATTGTAGCAATACACTCAACTCATTTCATAACCATTTGTATAAAGACATTTATTTTAACTATTACATTTATTTTAACTATTTTTATGCATAGGAAGACAATGAGGGCTGTTAGACCACAGTGTGAAATGGTGACTAGAGTGCTGGACCTGAAATCAGGGACTAAAATTCAAATTGTACTTCAGACACTTACTAGCTGTGATGCCCTGGGCAGGTCCATTAATTTTTCTAAGACTCAATTTCCATATCTATTACATGGGAAATGCATTTAATGCAATCAACAGTCACATAATATCATTTTAATATGTACTTTCAAAACTGTAAAATGGATCATAACAGATTTGGAACTTATCTTAACAAAATACTATACAACATTTATAAAGTACAGGGCCTTCACCCTAAAGTAGCTACAGAAAGATTAGCCCTTCCTTAACCAAAAAAAAAAAAAAAAAAAAAGAGAGTGAGAGAGAGAGAGAAGGAGGATTGATAGAAATTCTCAGAACACATGTTAAATAAGTTTAAAAAAAACCTACAAAAATGCTTTTGGAATAAGTAGATATCCATTCACCAAGCCATGGTAAAGGCCAACAATAGATACATAGCATTGGATTTGTTTAATGTAACTGAAACTGTTTTTCCTTCTATACAATGTCTAAAGTCCAAGGCTGAAATAATTTGGGCAATTGCCATATGCACTTGGCCAATGAAATGTCAACAAGAAAGGGCTTAACAAATGGCTGAGCCACAGTAATTTGGTTTTTTATAAAGATGCATTTGGAATGGGTATTCTGTGTGAGGCTGTCTTCTCTAAACACATCAGGAGTCCTGGATTAGACAGCAATACAAATTATGCTAGAAAATTGTAGAAACTGTGCAGTGCATTATGGCCTGCTACAAAAATATAGCAAATAACTAACAAGAAGTGACCTGTTGACTAGAACTGTATTTCAAAAGCTTGCTATATGACATGAACTGGCAAATATAGATTCCAAAATAATCTTGATAATTCAACTAGTAAACTGACTGGGAAACCTGGAAATTACAGATCATATGTTTGTCCATAACTATCAAACTATGACATTGATCCATACAAACTTATGAACATTTTTATTGTTTATTATTAGATATTGCCATACCAAATAGTTACAAATTCCAACTTACCTGGAACAAAGAGCTTTTTAAAATATAACAGAAGAAATCAGAATCATGTGGAAACAGATTGTAGCATATAACTATCCCAGTCATCATCTCTGGCACATAGTATGTACCTCAATACTTGGTTACTTGACTTGTACCAAGGATGTTTTCAATGAAATAATCCTACTAAGGAATTTACAATCAAATTCAAACAGAGAACAGGACAGGGAATAATAATGGAAAGTTTCAAAGAGGTAAATTTCAGCCTGATGTAAAGAAAAACTTCCTTAAGAACTGGAGAAATTGAAAAGCGGGCATGAGAAACCTCAAAAAATAGTAGGTTTCCCCATATATGAGGTATTTGAGGAAAGGCTGGATAATAACTTTTTGGATATTTTGTAGAAGAGATTCTTAGTAAAGTACAGGTTAGACTAGATGGTCTTTCTCAACTCTGTACTTCTGAACTTCCATGAACATGTGTATATTTTCCACTGGTACCACTATTTGCATTAATAAATTCCATATTTCTTATCATCCACTGTGTAAATTAGTACATCCTTAGTTTTAACCTAGGACTATCTCTCTCAAGGATCAAGTCATGCGCATTAGTAACAATGTTCTCAGATTTGGTGAACGAGTCTGTGTTCACTCTAGCCATGGCCTTCATGATTTTATGTGCTTTGATCATAGCTGTTTCAGGCTTCATCTTTCCAGACTGAAGAGTCCTTTTAATCAATGCAAGCTACTCAGTCCCTTTGATCATTTCAAGTTGCTCTTCTCTGAACCTTTTCCAGTTTTGTGTCTCTTGAGAGGCAATGACCAAAAGAGTGTGCATTACTCCAGATCCCCATATATTATGCTTTTGTACGAGGTAATAATTATGATTTGGATTTTATTTCTGATGCCTTTCCTGTAGACAAACTATCAGTCCATGGAATTCTTGAAGAGTACCACTGAATATTCCTTGCACTTCTCATATTCTTGCTTCAATCAACTCACTTTAACTAGAAATTTCGCAATTATGACTTGCCTCGTCTAGCAGATGTCCAGAGAAGATAGGTCAAGATCGATTACTAGCATCCCTCCTTAGATAAGTTGTCCCTGACTAGGAAAAGGATGTAGTCAAACTCACAAGAAAACATTAAATTAAAAAATTTAAACAACAAGTGTGTTACCGTGTGTTAAAAGAGAAGTTATATGTAGGAGAGGGCAGCCTTGAATTTAAGAAGACCTAGACTCAGATTCTGCCTTTGAAACATACAGACTGTCTGACCATAAACATAGTCACTTACACTCTCCGTACCTCCAGACAATATTATTAAGATTTTATGATCAGCTTAGAGGCACAGTGGATATAACACTGGACATGGCATTAGGAAGACTTCAGTTCAAATCAGGTCTCAGATGCTAACTAGCTGTGTGACACTGGGCAAATCACTCAACCTCCGTCCCTTTCAGTTTCTTCATCTGTAAGATGAGGATCATAATAGCACCTACCTCCCAGAATTGCTGTAAGGATATAATGAGATGATATTTATAAATTATTTTTCAAATCTTTAAGTGCTATATGAACACTTCTTATTATTTGAGTCATTATTAGGTTGCATATGACTTGTTGATCTGTATTAGTGGAGGAATTCCACACAGGGAGTTTTTCACACTGATGAAAACACAGGTCTAGTATTAAGCACTCTCACAGCAGTGAGAGAACTTACAAAGATCTATCATGGAATAGAATGTTGGTTGTGGTAGAGGGTGGAAAAGCATAACAATAAAAATAAGTGTATAAGTGTAGTACAAATTAGAACAAATTATGTGACTAAAGAATGTACAAAATGCTATTTGTGCAGTCTGAAAAAGAAAGTATCACTTTAGAATCAATCAATAGCCATTTATTAATTGCCTACTGTATGCGAAGCAAAATGCTAAGCACTGGGGATACAAAGACTATCTCTGCATGAAGCAGGAAAATTCTGCATGAAGAACATCTCATTTGAACTGGGTCTTACAGGATCAAACGAATTCTACAGGTAGAGATTGGGGATAGTTAATAGAATGTACATTCCAGGCATAGGGAGAAGTATGAATAAAGGCATGGGGGCAGACATATAGAGTGAAAGTAATCCATATTAACTGAAGCATAAAGTTTATATTATCAGACTTGTTTATATGAGATAATAATGATAAACTGCTTAACACAGTGCCTAGCACATAGAAGGTGCTTTATAAATATTAGTTATCATTATTATTATTTTTATTACATTTTCCTTGAAGTATATAGCAGAAACCTATGATGACTCTTTCCTATAATATAGATGTGGTCAAAATGTAGATCCAAAGCTATTATCTAGATCAAAGGTGCTAAACCTATTATTAAGGAGATGAACTAAAACTCAACAATAATTAATAATAATAATAATAATAATAATAATGATATAAATTTTATAAGTTTTAAGGGTTGTGAAATATTTGGCATGTATCTTATCTCACTGGTTAAAGTACTGAGGTAAGCAGTGCAAGTATGCATATCCCCATTTTGTAGGTAAGAAAACTGAAGAGAGAAAATAAATGACTTGTCTGGGATCATAGTTAATAATTGAGGCAGGATTAAAGTCAAGTGTGTCCTTACTCCAAGGCCAGTTTGTTTGTTTGTTCCCCCATGGTGTCACACTATTTTTCAACCTAAAATTTCCTGGCTACTACTAATCATTGGTGATTATCCTGAAGTCTTTGG